CTGTCCATTTCTATCTCTACTGAATTTTCTCCAGGACTGAAACCTTGGCTTCCAGGCACAGAGCTGCCAGCTCTGTCAGCAGTCACTTCTCCTCAGCAGTTTCTCCTGAGTGGAGCCTGCTCATTTGCAATGATTTAAATTCTACTGCAGGATTTTTATTTTCTTACTGTCCCATTCAAAGGAAAGGCTAAATCATCTTGACAGAGATCTGGAACTTTCTAGGCATCCATATTCATCAGGAATTCGAAATCCTGACATCAGAGAACAATAGCTCTGGGTCATTTCTTTTTAAAGAAAAAAATGCTACCTATGAGGTTTCCTTGGGAGAAATATACTCTTATTGAAGACAAGAGAAACATATTTGAAAGGTTATATTATGTAGCTATACCTTTTTTTATTAAATGAGAATATCAGTGGAGGAGGTCCCAACTATCTTAAAAGAACCAGCAGTAGTTTCAAATAGTAGTATTTCCCTTCTGCATTCATTCCAAGTTACAAACCATAACAACCTGAACAGTCCAAGTTGTTTCCAAATACCAACTAAAAAATAATTTCCCCTCTCCCATTACTACTCTCGTGCATACTATCTTCAAAGTCATAAAGTGTGTAACTAGTATTCGATATTCACAAAGAATAAAACCTCCCCTTACCTGTTTTAATGTCCTCTCCATATCAATTCCTTGGCCCCATGGGGCTGCAGGGTTGGCAAGACAATCACCAGCATTTCCTCTCCTTGAAATATCAATTTTCTGTCTTCTAAGATTACGGAAAGTTTCGGCCATCACAAGTACTCCATCATATGTCAACGCAGATGTATACTAAATAGATGGACAAATATACCGCTTCAGAGTTGGCATGTCTTTAAGAAAATCAGCTGTCTCAGATATTTCTAGTTTGATTCATTATGCAATAGCTTCTACACCTTCATTTAGAAGAATGCTCTCCTCAAAATCAGAAGCAATTTTGTCTAAGGGGCAAATGCAGGACATTTCAGTAGCTCCAGCTTTAAAACTGTATTTCTATGGGTAGAAAACGTATTTCTATGGAGAGAAAAATCTGCATCTTAAGAATTAATAAAAGAAATAAATAAAACTGGAGATATTCCACTCTTAATTTTATTTTTCCATTTGTCTTACACATTATTGAATAACCCCATCTGCCCAACTTACTCAAGGGAAAAGAAAGAAACAGTAACTCACTGACAAAATATAACTGAAAGAGTGCATGGCTAACGAGCAGACATCCAGACTCCTGGAATTGCTAAGAATGATCAAGTGTAGGTTCTTCCACTGGAAAACTTGTGTTAGCCCTCTGCCTGATACGTGCACTGAACGGTCTGTGTTTCTACACTGACTCCAGTAACTGCTTTAGGTTGATAAGATGCCAAATGAAATGTGTAGAGCAAGTCATTGACAGATGTTAGCCTGGAGCCACAGAAGCAAAGGGGTATTTTCTCAGCATGGTCCTCTGATAAACACAATGCATCAGGAAAAGTTGTTCACATGCCCAGGGCCCTGTAACTTCCAAAATGTAAATTCCCTTATTCAAGTCTAACTTTGTTCCTCTCCTTTGTCTTGCATATTATAAGCTCTTTGAGACATGGTTTAATCTGTATAATCTAGAATTTTGGTTATTTTTAGGTGAATTATGTGTGATTCAGATTAATCAGGCTGTCATATTTATAGCTATGCTGTGATTTGCACACCAAGAAAATTTTAGGTGCGAGAAATATTTTGTTGTCCATCTGTGAGGGATTAGGATAGAGGAACACTGTGATGAAATTTCACTGTAAAATTATGCCTGAAAGTGATTACTACACCAGGTTTTGAGATGAAGAATTTCCAGAGAAAACTGTATGAAAATTTACAATTTCAGTAATATCTCATGTACGGAAGAATTCAGCTCTTTGGAAAGCTCAGCTAAGTGAACCTAGATAAACAGGCTGATTAATGTAAATTTAATTGAAATTAAGTTGTCAGTTAAGCATTTGACCTTTAATCGCTGTTGGTAAAGGGTTGAAGTTGGAGAATAAGTGACAGAGGACATTAAAGTACATCATTGAAAAGTGTTGTAGTTTGTGTTTCCATCATACAGATGTAAGGTTAGGCATAAGCAGTTGTCATTAATAGTGTGATCAACTGCCTCCTCCTCTGTCTACACATTAAGGTCTTCATTCATGTATTCAACAAGGTTAATCATAAAATAAAACACTTGAGTGATATCTTTGGTAGTGCTTCAGACCAGTCAGTACCTTCGGTGGGGTCTCAGATCCAGGGTATTCTCTCTGGTCCAGCTTCTTCCAGCGCTGCATCAGCTTAGTTACCATCGGGGTACTGAAATCTACGAGCTGAAATCCAGTCACATTGGCTCCTCCATGCATAAATCTCTCTAGAGAAATATCTTTGAATCCCTAGAAAATCAATTTAAGATTTTGTTTGCCCTCCTACACCACTGTAGGTCCAATCTGTTCTAGGCCAGCACAGAAGCATAAAGAATGCACAACATCAGGATTCCATTAGAAGGCAAAATTTACAACCAGAGAATAATGTTGAACCTTTGATGATAACTTCCATTTGTTTAATAAATAAATAAAGAAAACCAAGAAATAAATTTCCCACATTATTGATAGGGTGGTCTTGACAGCTAAGCAACACATTGCTGGGAATGGCAGACAGTTTTTGAAGAAATGCCTTTGGCAAATCAACTGAAAAGTGCCTGCAGAATATTAAAGACTTAATCCAATTTCCATCAAAGTTGGCAGATTTGAATAAGCATTGTATTAGTGCTTTAAGCAATACAACCTTCTTTCTTTGCATGTTTGAAAAACAATGTTATTCTGTAAATATATTTATTCCAGGATTCATCGCTTAGCCTGAAAATGTCTGAGATAATGAGATAACATAGTAGACATTAGAAGGCAGAAATGGTGCATGAGGACCTCATTGTCAGTGCAATGAATGACCTCATTCTGGTGCATAACACCAGAATCACACTTTTGCAAGATAAGATTGTGGTAGCTCTCAGATCTGCTATATACTGAAAACCTAGAGTGACGCTCTGACAGTGGAAGAAAATATAAAGTACATATAATTCCTGATTTATTAGTTTCTCTGGCAATTCAGTTCAGCACATATAAAGAAATTCTTTACTAAAATTTGACTTTAGAGACAGAACTGATCTTCAAGAACCACGTAACACAAACTGCTAAAGCAAGCTAAGAAGCAAGCAAAGATCTTTCTGCTCCTTTCCTAACTTCTATGTTTAAGGCTAACTCAGAGGTATCTTATTTTTATTTTCTTAAATTCCTCTGATTGGCATTTATCAGTGCAAACAGAAGTGTATATCACACAAATTCGAAAGATTTAGGAAAAAAAATGGGGGGTACTGACCCATTATCCCAGGGGAAAAAAAAACTTTTAAGGACAGAAATTTGATTCATATCCTAAGGGCTACTGGCAGTAAATATAAATGATGATGCATTAGGAAGTCATATTACCCACATTATTGAACAGACAGTAAGAAAGTGTGCCCCTGATGAAGCAGATGAGTAGATGTGCCTGTTTCCCCTGCATACCCTACTAGCAGTTCACTGCAACATCCAGTTCTTTGTTTGCAGCAACTATTTTGCATGAGAAAAATTACTTGGGGAACTATAAAATTATAACGCTGAAAATCCTAATTTGTAAGACCTAAGAGAATAGACATGTCTCATTTAAAACACCTGAGGCCTTAAAATTAATCTGAAGTGATCTTAAGTTAAGGTACAAGTACAGCAAAGCACAATAAAATATTTCATGTCAACTAAAATGCCTTGAGGGAGAGTAAAAAGAAAACAGTTTAAAGCACACATTAGACTCTGTCCTACATTTGCTGTGCTTTGCTAGGCAGGTATTTTGGCTTAGATAATGGGTCATTTTAATAATAAAATGTTGCATTTACTCTATCCTTGCCCTCTTCTAAACATTATCTATATGAATGTGCAGTTTTGACTTAGAATGAATATATTTAACCAGTAATTTGACTGGAAATAGCTGATCTTACAGGAAAATGAATGTTCCTGGAGAATGTAGAAAAGTTACCTTTAGAATTGCTATGTTACTAATAATAAAAAGATGAGTCAAAAATCACAGTGCTGTTCTGTAAATTCTAATTCAGTCACAAGATACTCTTAGCAGTCCCTTATATTACATTGAGTTTGATAAAATTTAAGATGGTAACATTGTGCCCTTCATATCTAGATGGCTGTAACAACAAACCCGAGTTCTTTTACACACCATAAAGAATGTATTATGTACAACCACATACTAGAGACAAATGGGAAATGTTGTGTGAACTGTTGTAACTGCAAAGTAAAGCTGAGCGTTTCACTTACCAAGCAGGGATATAATTCTAGAAAAGTGTCTTACCAGGTTGGCAACAATATAATGGTATCCTTTAACATGCTTTCCCACGCTCACAATCTGTGCGAGAGAAATAAGAAAAAGAAAGAAAAGAAAAACAATGTCATATTGTTTTATCTATAAAAGTGTTTTCGTAGCCAGATAGACATAAATTCTGAAACATATAAAGCATATAATTATATAATATCATGTTTCCAGCTGCTTAATCTTGGGAAAAAGTTAAAGTGAGTAAAGGAATGAACTAATAATCCAAGTGTCTTCTGTAGGACTGAAAATACTATGGTAGTATACTATTTTATCAAATAGAGCAATTATCTATGGGATACAAATTCAGAAGGAGAAGGTCACACATTAGCTAGAAAGCCTACCCACTGATGCACCTTTTCAGTTGAAATAAGTTCAGAATTTATGAAGCAACCTGGATTTTCATCTCTTGGAATCCAAGCTGTTTGCCCTTGAGGTGGTCAAGTACTATGAGTGCTATTCAGCTCTCAGTAATATGCAGAAGACTTTGGGAATGGACATGATCGAGGACAGAGCAAGAACAGTGAGTCTGCATTTGAGTGTTTAACCAAAATATAACATCAGGTGATGCAAAATGGCAACAATCATGATGTGCAGCTGCTGCAGCCCTGATATGGCATGATCAACCACAGGGTTTAGACAAAAACCAAAACTTGCACCGTGTATCAATATTATTGGAACTTCTGTGATGGAATGACTCATATTTAATGAGCTGAAAACAAATAAATTGGGTAATATTTTGCCAGTAGATTTCATGAACATGCCATTGCAGATTAAAGCTGCTCTTACTAAAGAAAATAACAGTATTACCTGTAACATGCAGCTTGCAATGAATACAGCCCTTTTAACTCTTATTTTTGATATTTACTATTCTTTTAGAAAACTGTGCTTGCAGCCCAAATATGTGGGTTTTTTCCTCCTCATGTACTCATCTCTGCAAACCATTTTAGATTCCCTCCAAATCAATAAATAAGAAACAACCGAAAGTCTTCCATGCAGTGCAGGTCACTTAATAAGTAACGGAAAACTTATGTATCTGTCACCTTTCCTGCTTGAAATCTTAACTCTAGGCCCTGTCCTTGCCTTTAGGTATCACACCTCATGTTCAAAAGACAGAACAAACATTCACTAAGCCTTGCAGTCCCTTTTTCCAGTGCTGTAAAAAATAAATAATATCACATTTTAGAAATGAGGACAAGCTGATGACGATAAATAATCTGACCAAAGACATTCAAAGATTCAGGATCTAAATCTGGATTAAGACTTGGAAATACTTGATTGCTGACTCTATTTTCCCACTAAATCAATTCCCTTTTACAGCAGAATGGAAGAGAAAATTCAAGGGATGTGGCATAAGTATGGGAGAACTGTTTTTGTTTCATTATTTTAAAGCAATAAAATAAATAAGCTATTCATCTTTTATATTTTGCTTGTTTCCCAAAATCTACTTCCTATGTATAGTCTGTAGCTAAAATGCTTGCATTTAAAAAGCAAAACATAAACTTAAAAAACCCCAAAAGACATTGCACTCCCCAAACCATGGCCACATTATTGTCCTTCATATAAATGAATTTTACACTCAATAAAACTCTCATTAAGATCAGTGATTAAGTACCATTGCTACCATTTTAATGGGAATGGCAGAGAGAGAGGTCACAATTTTCCCTTTTACCAACTCAACATATATGAGGAGGACGCTGTCAAGTCATTTATTTTTGCACATACTAAAAATTCCTGCTGGTTCGATGCTTCAATATGGATGTGATCAATGCTTTTACATCTATACTCATTCAGCAGTAATGAAAATATTTGCCTCCCCATTACAGGGAAACTGATGCAGATTAAAAATACACAGTTTTAAATAAATACAGCATCACACCTTGAAGGTTTGTAAGATGATTGACATGATTTAAGATCATAGAAACACAGAATGGCTTTAATTAGAAGAGACCATAAAGATCATCTAGTTCCAATCAGCCTGCCATGGGCAGGGAACATCTTCCACTAGACCAGGTTGCTCAAAGCCTCATCCAGCCTGGCCCTGAACACTGCCAGGGATGAGGGATTCACAGCTTCTCTGGGCAATCTGATCCAGTGCCTCACCACCCTCACAGTAAATAATTTGTTCCTTATACCTAATCTAAACCTACCATGCTTCAGATTAAAGCCATTCTCCCTTGTCCTATCACTGCATGCTTTTGTAAAAAGTCCATTTCCAGCTCTCTTGTATCCCCTTTAGGTACTGGAAGGCTTTCACTGAGGTACCTTGAGATATCTCTGGAGCCTTCTATTCTCCAGGCTGAACAACCCCAACTCTCTTCAGGAGTCTTCACAGGAGAGGTGCTCCAGCCCTCTGATCACTTTCAGCACCCTCCTCCAGACTCTCTCCAATAGGTCCATGTCTTTGTGTTGGGGCCCCAGCACTGGACGCAGCACTCCAGGCAGGCTCTCACAGGGGCAGAGGAGCAGAAACCCTAGGCTCTCACAGGGGCAGAGGAGCAGAATCCTTTCCCTTGACCTGTTGGCCATGCTGCTTTTGATTTAGCCCAGCATGCAGTTGGCTTTCTCAATCTATTTACCACTCAGCCTGTATTTGTGTTTACACAAACACCTGATCCTCCTGCAGGACCTTGCACTTGGCCTTGCTGAACTTCATGAGGCTTGCACAGGTGATGTATGTGACACAGCCATGTATCAGACCCTCAGCTTGGGCAAATCACTGCAGCTGCCTTTGAATTTTGGGAAGTTGATGCAGCTTTGGCAATTAATACCCTTAGTGATCTGTTCCCTGGTTTGGTTTTGTAACACAAATTTTGATGATCATTGCAATGTATTAGTCAAATAAAACAATGACAAACCTCTAAGCATTGAGGTACATCAGATAGATGTCCATAGTTGTCAGAGTCAAAATGAGTAAATACTGGAAATGAGGAACCAGATTTATTTCTGTGCTTGTTCATAGGAAAGCCATGTAGATATCACTGCAGAATTCCTGGATTTCATGTGAATAATACATAATATTTTTGAAAAAAATAATTTGGTACTGTCATTGTATTCTCTCAAAGCTTGTTTCTTAGAGTGAGTGCTAAAAGCACAAATTTATATATCATCTGGTTGTCTTAACTTCCTTTTACAGTCAGTGGAAAGCATGGGCACTTTGAGGAAATGATTCATTTTATTCTAAAGCACATGTGTAAAATTAATTAGACAGCTCATGCCCTGAAAGTGCATATTTTTCTGCACTGACTAGAAAAAGAGTTGATGGTGATTAGCTCTGATGTAGACACCTACATTTTATATCCATAATGTTAACTGAGACGAATTTTACCCTAAAAATGTCAGTTATGCAGTTAGAGAAGAGAAATGATGCTATATAGTTTGTATATTCAACCAAGACTCCATACAATTCTGATTTTGAATTTGAAAATTCTTATAGTTATTGATCACACACAGTTTGAAAACTAGGAATTGGTTATGATTCAGGAATAAATGCCTGTTTAGTGAAATAGCTTTCTGTCAGCATCTCATACTTTTGTATCCCAAATACACATACAGGCACCTTTCTCTCTCAAATACTCAAAGCTGCAGATTATGATCAATGAACCAGGATATGAATTCTTGCTACCTGAAGAATCACCTTTCACTACACTGCACTTCTGCCCTAAGATAAATGGAGGCAATGAAGTCCTTTGTAGCAAGGGAAGGAATTTGACAGCTACTCAGTCTGGAATGCAAACCCTCAGGCTTTCCTTCTCTGTTCTTTAACTGGTTAGCAATGACTAGAACTTGGACAGAGATGAGACCTCAACCATTCCATACATGTAAGAGTTGATATTACCCAGAACCAAAATCGGGTCTGAGATTTTGACAGATGAAACGGCGTTTCACAAAGTCTTTGCTATTGAAGTTCATTAAGTCTGTGGGCACCTTAAAAACACAGTGTACCTCTAAATTCAGACCAAAAGACCAAGCTCAGTCACAGTCCAGAGAGAAGGCAGCATGGTATTGCCTAGCATCTACATTAGCAAGTAGGACAGTTGGTAGGATAAGATCTGTACAGCAAACTAAGAGCTGGCATCCATAGCACATGCTTCAGGGTTTTACACTGGACCCTCTCTAACCTGGTCACTAGGCTGAGCTCACATTACACTTCAGGGGTGCTTTTGAGTACACCTTCTTGCTTGGCATCATCCAAACAAAAACCAATTCATGTACTTTGAGTCCAGCTTTGATGTGAAGCTCAAGAATGAAGAGCATGTTCCTGACAGCAGCTAAGATACTCTGTGTGCCCATGGGCCATGCTTTCTTAGACAAGCCCTGAGCACTTGTAGGACAGGTGACACATTCATGCAACACAAGGCTGAGCAGTGAGAACTGCCATCATTTCATAAGAAAGGCCCTTAAAGAGAGGGCAGTGCAGCCACAGGACCTGTGTGGTTCTGTCAGCAAGCAAAAGGTCTGATACAGCATGCACTCTGACCAACTGCAAAACCTAGCAGGGCCAGGCATTGAAGATTGGCTGTGTCAGTTACAGGCACAGTGATACATCATGAAACTGCTGATATGGCAGGTCAGGGTCATGGTAGGTGAGGGAGGGAGGACCCTCTATATGTGTAACTGTGCTTTTCATTGCTTCAGGATGTTTTGATTCAAAACTGTCCTAGTGCCAGCAACCTGAGGGACTAAGTACTGTGTAGTACTTATGTACCCCTTAGGTAGCACTTCTTCACTTACCCTTCTAAGCATTTGGTTTTGCTCTGTAATCCCACTCTGATTTCTTAAATACCATACACAGATAGTGCACCTGACTTTTGTTGCAGTGAGAGTTTAAGGTGACCTCAGTTTGCTCAGGGAGATTTTGGGAAGAAAGTGCTGGGAAGGATGAACTTTGACTTCTTTGCAAAAAGCTGAGAGCAGGTGAAAGCTGGATGCTGCACTGGCTTTTGTATATTGATTTGCATGTTTTAATTCAATGACCAAGGTAACTAGCACCTATAATTTGAGCTCTTTTATAGTCTCTATTTGTAAAACTGAAAAAATTGCTAAAT